ACCGTCCTGACGAACTTCTCTTTTGTGAACCAACAATCTTCCTTTGGATCTGTATGATGCCTGAATCTGACCCGGAACTCCCTCATAGGTTTGGGCGGTCTTCCCCAGCCCACAGGCTTGGTAACAGGCAAGTTTCTATGTTCCATGATGTCGTTGACGTCCACATGGCCATTCATGGTTACGGGCAGCATTGACCTTCTTGATGGGATCTGTCTGTCTCAGCGAAAGGTGCAAGCTTGGAAGCGTGGAATACAGGGTTGCGCAGATGTCGAAGGATTCTTATGACATACGAGGGTCCATCCAAATCACTACCCACAATATCCAGGACTTCCCAAGGACCGAAATACTGTTGCATTCGTTTTCTAGAGATTCCGAATTTCTGACCCAGTCCACAAGCCTTTACACAGACACGTTCCCCTACCTGAAATGTGGACTGTCGCTTGTGTTTGTTCTCAGAGGCAATCATTGCCTCCTGAGACTCTCTGATATGCTCGACAGCCTGCTGCAACAGCTTCTCATACTGGACACCAAACTCTATGGTTCCAGGCATTGCAGCTGATTGGTTTTCAGGAAGCAGGAAGTCTAGTGCATATCTAGGCTTCCATCCCAAATGTAGATCATTCGGACAAACGCCCGTGGTGCTGTGAACAGCGTTGTTGTACAGGCTGGTGATGAGAGGCAACTTCTCATCCGAATCATCCAGGGTGGGCTTAATGTAATGCCTCAGCAGGTGCTGCAGCACGCGGTTCATCTGTTCTGCTTGACCATTGGCTTCGGGATGATTATCGGAGGTCATCGGAAGTTGGCTGCCCATTTGTCCGGCAGCCTTCTTCCACATTTCGCTCATGAATCGGACATCTTTGTCACTAACTATCGACTTGGGCAGTCCAAAGTCTCGCACCCAGTTATCCATAAATAACTTGATGACATGTGCAGTCTTTGCCATTTCTGGCATGGCGATTAGTCTGGTGTACTTAGTGAATCTGTCCACTATGACGAATATGTGCCTATTGCCGCTCTTGCTGGTGACGAGGGTCTCCATGAAATCCATGGAGACACTCTGTCCCAGACCTGCAGGAATAGGCAAGGGCTTAAGTAACCTAAGCGGTGCTTGAGTTCGTGGCTTATCCCGTTGACAGACTTGACAAGTCTGGATATACTTCTTCGCATTATCAAGCATATCAGGCCACCAGAAACGCTGCACTCAGTTAGCACTAGTTTTCTGGTAACCGAAGTGACCAGTCGCATTAGGACATTCACCTAAAAACAAACTACGCAAAATTTCCCTAAGCGGCACACAGTCTTTTAAACCCTGCCTTCTCAAGAAAGAGTAATCTGTCCACTAACACAAACTCGTCAGATGTGGCCTTGTCTTGGACCTTAAGTTTGTGTATGATGTCCATAGTGACGGGATCTTCCTTGTAGGCTTCAACCATCGATCGAGTTATATCGTCAGATAAGCCAAACTGAGTGATTAACACTCCTAGGTACTTTGCCCTACGTGACTGTGCCGGACCTGCCAGGATGGCGGTCCGTCAGGATGGAGAAGGAGGGTTGACGAAGGAGGAGGTGGAGATGGAGCTGGTAGGAAAGCGCAGCTCCGACGCAGACTCAACACGCACGTCCTCCAAGATGTGCAAAAATGGAGAATGCTTGAAAAACAGACAACAACTGGGGTATACCCTCAGTGGACTGACTGACTCGACTGGATTGGCCTGGTATCGACAGTGGTACCGGACAGGACTGGACTGGACTGGAACAGCATACGGCCTCTATGTAACCCGGTGAAAGCGCTGAACGTGCGTTCACGTTCAAACGCGCGTGTTCATGCCCCCAAGGGTTGCGTTCATTCGCGTTCAAACGCGTTGCGCACCACATGGCGCGAAAAAACTGAACGCGACCCCGGGGTTACACGCGCGCATTACGGACTACGAGGTGGTGGACCTCGTTCTAAGAACCCCAAAACTGCCAAAAAAAAAAAAACAGAGGCCTACCCCCCCC